TCATGCGCGTCCCCGCAGCTGGCACAGGAGGAAGCTGGCTCCGACGGCCTCGCTGGCGGTGCGCCCTTCGAACGGTGAGGTTGTGACGGCTTGTGGTGGAGTTGCGCCACTGCCTCCTCTTCGGAGTCTGCCGAATCCCCTCCGGCTTGGGTGCGGTGTACCCGATGGCCGCCGTGGCCCGGGTGCTCATTCTCGAAGGCAGCCGCATCCTTTAAAGCCGTGGCTAGCGTGAGGTCATCATCCCGAATGAGGCGCCTCCTCAGTTTGGCCTCTCGTAAACCCAACAAGAACTGATTCAGCAGGGTCTCGTCCAGGTTGCTGAAATCGCATTTCATGGCGGCCTTGCGAAGGTTGGCCAGGAAGTCCGCAGCTTTCTCTTCGGGGCCCTGGACCTTCACAAAAAAATCCATGCGGGCCGCAAATTTGGAGGGCTGTGGCGCTAGATGGGCCGTGAGAGCCGTGATGAGGGCCTCGAAGCTCACCTCCTCTACCTCCTTAGGTGAGATTAGGTTCTGCAGAAGGAGCAGGGTGTCCATCCCACACAGCCGGATGAGCTGGGATCTCTTCAATTCGGCGTCGGTGACCCGCATGCAGGCAAGGTAGTGCTTGAGGATCCTCACCCATGTGGTCCATCGTTCGGGGTGGGCCAAGTCAAACGGAGCGATGCCTTCGTGCGAGGTCCCTGCTGGAGCGGCGGTGGCGACCCCGGAGGATGCGTTGGGCCCGGAGGATGAGGAGGTGGAAGCAGAGGAGGGAGCGGAGGTGGCATTTTGCTCCGACATTTCCGCGGATGCTCGTGGACGCTCGGAGGACCGGGTGAGGCGGGCGCGATGGTCGGGCGAGCTTAGCCTGAAGCGTGCTAGGCGTGGAGAGCGATGCTGCTGCTCGAGGGGTCAGCAGTGTGCAAGCGGAGCCGGGAGCGGAGCGATGAGCAGTTGCCGGAGAGCTGGGATGCGAAGTTGCGCGGTTCCCGGAGAGGTCTCGGCGTCAGGCTCGGTGCGGTACTCGTGTTGGCGTCCGGGTCTTGTTCATGGGGTCGTAGATCCCACCTTCGTCGCCAGTGAAAAGTACTCAGAACGTGGAGTGATTCAGCAAGAGTACTTTATTAGATCAGGAACAAGACAAAGAAACCAGCTCGCAGGCCGGTTTATATGCGTTCAGAAAACCCGCCACCAAGCACACCTAAA